GCTGGAAGAGACCATCTCTAGGTTGGTTTTCATGCTCTTAGGCTCACCAGAGGCTGTGCCATCTCCTCCTAGAACTACTGAAAGTGACCCTTGGTTCTTTCATTTTTGCAGTCCTTAAAATGATCTCATCCTCCTTCACCGTCAGCCAAGCCGACTTGTCCTTGCTGTTTGCACAGGTTTTACTGCATTGCCGGATCCATCACACCATCTCCCACAAATGGGATTTCAGGGGCTCCGTGTCCAGTGGACCACTTTTGTCCATTGGGCAGTGAGAGTCCCACTCCCTGCCCTCCTGGCTCCTATGCTGCTGAGACCCACAGGCGGGAACGGTGCCACCCCTGTCCGGAGGGAAAATACTGCCTCCTGGGTCACTCCCTACAACTGTGTCCCGAAGGTGAGTAGCCAGCTTCTCCACCAGGAAGGTACAGACCTGTCTAGTCTTCTACGGTTCTTCCTTGTAAAGTTCTGATGGAACTCCCTCATCTTTTAGGGTGGAAGGGCGCTCAGAATGTCATGGTTATAATAGATATGAGCATGTGTAGTTCTCTTGTGTGCTCACTGTTTGCCCGATGAATCTGAGGTTTATTCTCCACTCTGACTCAAGTTTGGTTTCACTAGGAGACCTCCTGAAATTAACAAAACAAAGGGCAATGCTGAATTTAAAGTCTTGAAACCTTTGAGTTGTGCAAGGTTGTCAAAAAGACATGGAAATCAGGATGATATCCTTTGGAGTCTGTCAGATCCAATGAAACACGCTCTTGTCTACAAAAGGCCATGCTATATGTCAAGGGTGCTTGATTATCTTAACCTGAAGACTCTCACATGGTTTATAAGAAAGGCTTGCATGTGGTCTCCCATCCAAGCACTGACCGGCTTCTGACCTGCTTAGCTTCAGTACAGTTGCCTTCCACTTATAGGATGGGACCTGCTGCTTTTCTCTTGCTCTGATGCATCAGCCCAGCATTAAGTTATTTGGGAAGCAAGAAAGGTGTGTTTGGCTAAAGAGGCCAGTGTTTGCCTGCATAGTTAAAACAGATGTGCTCTTCCCTTCCAGGCTTCTACTGCCCTGAAGGAACAGGCTTAAACTGGCACCCCTGTCCCCCAGGAACCTACAGTCCTACCCCAGGGATCAGCCGTATTACTGACTGCAGAGCGTGTGATGGAGGGAGGTTCTGCCTGTACCACAATGCCACTGATGTCACTGGATTGTGTTGGGAAGGGTATTACTGCACCCAAGCATCAGACCGGCCTAATCCTGACACCCACCCAAATGGTATGGAGCCTTCCTTGGTTCTTCTGTAACATTCACCCTTCAGACATATGAAGGATGGGTTTTTTGCCTTCATCACAGCTGCCTACTGCCCCCCTCTCAATGGCTGGTAGTCTATGCAAAGAGCAAAGCACATAAAAGGGTGTCATCCTGGAAAGGCAGAACTTTATACAAGATCTTGGAAACTTACTTTTACAGTTACGGTTATAATCTAAAGGCCTTCTCCATAGTAATTTGTTCCCACTGTAATTACTTACATATTTGGCTAACTTGCTCTTTCTGAAGAATGTCTCCCACCAGGACAAAGACTCTAACTGGAACATCTGGAAGTCACTTAATAGACTTCAAAACAAAGTAGGAAGATTAAAGAATAATCAAATAAAATGGGTCTACTTGGATACAAGACAAATTTTCTGTGACTGTAGAAAAGTTTAATCCATGCCATATTTAAATGCATGCAGATGCTCCACCATCTGTACAGAAGAAGACCTACAGAAGTTTAATCCATGCCGTATTTAAGTGCATGCAGTTAATGCTCCACCATCTGTACAGAAGAAGACCTAGCAAATGACCGAGATAACACAATTGAAGTAGCCCACTTCCAGTCAAAAATAGTTTAAATATCTTAACGTTTTAATTTGTTTTTAATTTTACCTGTATTTCATATCCATGTATAAATTGCGCAACGCTCGGATGTGAAGAAAGAACTAATTCTTTACGTCTCTATTTCTGAAGAGCAACTAAAACAGTTCATTTTGGTGGTGGTGTTTTTGTTGTTGTTGTTGTTTTTTTAAAAGCATTTCCATGATGACTTGGAGTGCAAAGCAAACTGCTCTCCTGTCCCCCTCATCATCACAACCACAGAGCATGAGGTGGGAGCAAGAGACACAGGACAAGCCTACCATGAGTTCTGTAACCTGATTTCCTCCCCAAACTCATGCTTTTGATGACAGGTCTGGCTGGACCGTGTCCTGCTGGCCACTACTGCCCAAGAGGAACGGCAGTTCCCCAACCATGCCCGGTGGGGACCTCTGCCGCTGGGACGAAGCTGAGCTCTGAGGTAAGGCTGATGCACACAGATACAGAGTTATGGCCCTCTTTTATTGGATTTGGGAATTATCTCCTTTTATGGGTCTAATTTATATAGGGTATAAATTCACCAGCCACCGAGCCTTTTGCAAAACAGATAAAAATTAATGGCGGTTAAATAGGAGCTGCGTTCTAGAATATTACACAAAAAGTGTTTTCCTTGTATTATAAGTCCTCTCCGCACACACGAACGCACAGTTCCTCTCCCGTTTTGTGCTCAGGATTTATAATGAAGACAACGTTCAGAGGCAATATCTTCTACATAACTAGGAGATAACCATAACTGGAAATGTTTCTGCTTTAGCCACAAGATAAATGACGAGAGCAGCAAAAGTAATTTTTTGCTCCATAACCATTGCCTGCTCCCAGAATTCCAGTTAAGAGAACGTAGGGAGAGACCTCTTACTTCAAAACAACAAAGGAAAAGCTGTGGTGGCTTTTATAAAAATATGCTTTGTAGACTACAAATCCCAGAATCCTCTAGTTTTATCATTCTGGGAGTTGTAGTCTGGAATTTCAGTTTCCCAGGTTCTGCTGAAATTAGTCATTGATGCAATTAATTTCTCGCAGGCAGAGTGCGTCCTTTGCCTGCCAGGTCACCACTGCAACACCCCGGGCCTGGCTGCCCCAACAGGACCATGTGAAGAAGGATTTTACTGCACCCTGGGCTCTGTGGTTCCCAACCCACCAGGCGTCGACCAGAGTGGAGGCCCCTGCCCCAAAGGTAGCTTCTGTCTTTTCCAAAGAGGCAAATGCAGGGAAGCAAGGAAAGGGGAGCTTCTAGAGATGGGCATGAACTGTCGGTTTGGTGGTTCGTGCCAGTTTGTGCTTTGGACAAATGAGTATTCGGCACCTCCCAGCCCTGCCTCCTCCAGAAGGCTCCCACTCAGAGGCAGTGCCCCGGCTTCTCTGCCCCGCCTCCTCTGGGCACTGCCCACTGAGTGGGCAACTGCTGGAGGACGCAGGGCTGGGAAGTGCCAAACACCCGTTTGTCCAAAGGAAAAACCAGCACAAATCACCAAACCGACGGTTCATGCCCATCTCTAGCGCTTCTAACAGTTTGAGGACGCTCCCCTTCCTGATGCTGACTAACAGTCTCTTCTCCATTCTAGAGGAAATATTATTTTTCTCCTCTAAAAGGGTAGCAGCTGTCCAGAGCTTTAGGCAGGCTTCCTTCCGTGCTTTCTATGCTCTGATGGTCTCCCATTCAAATATTTAATTCGAGCTTACCCTGTTAAGTTTCTGAAATCAGACAAGATCCTTTGAGCCTGGAATAGTCTAAGGAAAGAGCAACATTTGCTGGATTCTCTTCATCTGCACAGCTACAAAAGGTGAAGTAGCCCTGCTCTGTTTTGCATGTGGCTACCCTAATTCAGGCCTTGTATCCATATCAGTGAAGCCCAATATTGCAAAACTCAGTTAGTGACCAGCGACGTCCTGCTCAAATAAATTGAACCCTGAACTTCCTATCACTTGGAGAAGCGAGCATACTAGTTCTCCCATGGTAAACCCCTTGAATTATTAGAGACTGGTTTTATGTTCCCAGGCATGAACATGCTTATACCTCCACTTCTTCTCCACTGCCCCATTGATTCTTTCTGGACATATTTCTTTTGAGGTTTGAATCTATGGGGGACGATCCCAGTCCTTGTCTATATTAGGGCCATGAAAGGGCAGAACATGGGTTTTTTTTCAGGCTTTGGAACTCCCTTCCACAGGAGACAAGATTGGCTTCCTCCTTGATGTCCTCCAGCCAACAATCGAAAATCTTTCTCTTCTGCCAACTCTACAAATTGAAGATAAGCTTGCTTTTTTTTTTGGATGGTTGCTTATCAGGAGACAAAGAATGGGCTTCGTTGGTCAGTTGACTCTGTTGGCACCGCAGCCATTAAGGAATGGTCTCTAGAAGGATAACATGTTATCACCTTCCAATTCCAAAACTATCTTCTCTCATAAGCCCCTACTGAAGGCAATGTTTCCCTTTTCTTCTAGGTTATTTTTGTCCCCGAGGCACGGCTACTCCACTGCCTTGCCCACCAGGGTCCTATAATCCTTCAGAGAGGCAATCCAGCTGCCTTCCTTGTCTTGGCGGGTAAGGAAGAAAATGATTGTGGGTGGGGTGAGTTGGGGAGAAAGAGGTGGAGAAGTCCTAAATATTTGTGAGTGTGATTTAGAAGGCAAGAAGGTCCATCAAAATCAGGTCTCTGGAATGCTGAGACTTCCAGAGATAGTGAACTGACAATGTCTACTTTGAGTTGAGTTGAGAAGGGCCCCCAACCCACCCCCAAAAAATGTTTGTAGGCAACCACCGAGAGAACATATGTTATGAGGCAGCCAATGAATAGTATCATTAAGTCAAATGAATGTTCCATCCTATTTGGCTGATGTTTTGGGATACGTAACTGGGACCGTTGGCCACAGGGCACACCCCTGGTCTTGCTTTTTCCTTTTCTGACCACAGATACTTCTGTCCCATGAGGTCATCCTCTTTGGCTGAGAACAGGTGTCCAGTTGGTCACTACTGCCCTCCTGGCACAGTGTCGGAAACCCAGTTCCCATGCCCCCAAGGGACTTACAATGCCAACATGGGAAGCAGTCATATATCTTCCTGTCTACCATGTAAGCCAGGTAGGTACCACAGTGAGGAAGATTTTGGCTGAATGGCTGCACTTCCTTCAAGGTGAAGAGAGAGAAAAAACTTGCTTACTATAATTATTAGGACATAGATTAGCCTTTCTTAATGCATGACTATTGTGATTATGTTCTCTTCAGTTCTTTATCACTGCTTTTTATTTTATTTCAAATCATTTCATTTAAAATAATAGAAATAACAATAATAATCTGAGAAATGCAGAGCTCAAATGGATCATTGAGTCCAGCCCTTGTCAAGGTGGTGCAGAGGGGAATTGAACTCCCAAACTTTGCCTTCACAGCCAGATGGCTAAACCATTGAGCTATCCAGCAGTTCATGTTCAGTTTCTCTTCCAATTTCATTTTTAGAAAGCCAGTATTGGTATAGTGATTAAAGTGTTGAACCAAGACCTGGCTGAACTGGGTTTAAGGCCCTGGGTCCCCATCATAGTCTTCGTCAGTCCAAAGGCACAGTGGGGAATCAAACTCCCCACTTTTGGCTTTACAGCCAAACGCCTAAGTCACTCAGCTCTATCCATGATCATCAGTTCTCAACTCTAGGTCCCCAGATGTTCTTGGACTACATCTCCCAGAATCTAAATAACGTGATTCACAAGGTTATTTTGAAGACCAAGTGTTATGGAGGACAACAGCCACATCTGTCCCTAGAGAAACATTGGACAGAAATGTAGCAAATGTATAGAACAAGTCATGCAATGTCATTAGTTCAACAAGAAAAAACAATGAATTCCGATGCCTCTTCCAGGCCATTACTGTGCTCAGCCCGGACAGCCCCATGTCACAGGCCCTTGCTCGGCAGGATACTATTGCATTGCAGGAGCTTCCTTCCCAACGCCTACGACTAGCCTGGTTGGCAACGTATGCCCAAAGGGACATTACTGTCCAGAAGCATCCTCGGTGCCCCAACCCTGTCCCCGAGGTTTCTACAGCAACTCTACAGGAAACACTAAAGTTGAAGACTGCCTCCTTTGTCATGCAGGTAGAGTGGGCCAGGTGGGGAGGAATCTGGATCTTAAAGAGTTGTTCTACAACACCTTCCCCCAGATCCTGCACCCTACAGCTAGGGTGTGTATGTTTCATCCCTCATCATCCTCCTGGCTTGTGAGAATTGTAGACTAACTCCTCTGAGAGCATGAGGCTGGGGGATACATTTATGAAAAAAGAAAGAAAGAAAGAAAAGAATGGTCCCACAGGCATTTCTCTCAATCTTAGAACCTTAGAACTGCAGGGCTGGAAGGGACCCTATGGATCATCCAGTCCAGCCCCTGTCAAGGAGGCACAGCGGGGAATTGAACTCCCAACCTCTGGCTTCACAACCAGATGCCTAAACTGCTGAGCTATCCATGATCATTGGTTCTCAACCACAAGTCTACAGATATTCTTAGGGCTCAACTCCCAGAAGCCTTTGCCACTAGCTGTGCTGGCTGGGATTTCTGGGAATTGCAGTCCAAGTGTTTTTGGAGCCCCAAGGAAGGGACCCACTGCCCTAGGGGATGCATATTTAAAATGGCCAAATGGGTGATCTGCTGACAGATCTTCACTTTAGAGGCAAAGGTCCTTGATTTGGGGGCCCTTCTAGGAATCATGGTGTAAGAACATCCAGGGCCCCAAGTTTTGAACCTCCTCTTTAGAGCTGTTTCACATTAAGGCTCTTTACAAGAGCTGTAATTATTCACTTTGATTGCACTGCAAACTGCTATAGGGGTGACACTTAAGTATCTGGACCCTTAAGTGTGTCATGAGCAGAGCAAGAAGGACTCACACCCACCTAAATTGGGATATAAGCTCTTGCTCGGTCTATGAGCTCTTGCACATTTAGCATAAAGCGGGTGTAGATATTTCTTCTCAGTAAGTGGCAGCCTAGACAACAGGCTGGCAGTGGGCTTTGACATCCACTTAGTGTAATTTTTTGATCAGCCTGGGATCCAGTGGTGTACATTGACTGTGTCCTTGTGCTTCTACCAGATTCCCCTTCCTTATGAGCTAAAAAGCCTCTTTAAAAACCTAAAAATCTAGTCGGATGGGAAGCCTCTGGCTTTTGTTACAAGTGCTACAGTAGGAATGGGAGGAAGGAAGCCCTGATACCAGTGGCATTGAGCAACAAATGACACCACTGGATTTTGGCCCTGATGCAAGAAAGCTAGTATTAGAGATGCCTGCCCCATTTCTGATCGAGCCTCTCCAGCAATGGAGAGCCACCCCAAACATCTGCCCACATCATAATTGGCTCCACAGTTGAACTGATTTATGAAATTTATTTCCCCCCTAAGTTCAAACAAAATCTATCCTCCTGCAACTTAAGTTCATTAGATCTAGTCCTTACCTCTGGGGCAGAAGACAATTGGTTTTTGACTTGTACAGACACATTTGGAATTCTGCCTGCTAATGTTCGTCAGCCATGCAGTTTGGGAAGCCATGTCCTTTATTTCTGTCCCCTTGCAGGATATTTTTGTGATGGAACAGGGCTTGCTTCTCCTTCTGGACTCTGTGACCCGGGGTTCTACTGCAGCGGAGGAGCCGTTTCTCCCAGACCAGCACCGGTAAGCTGCCTCAGTACTGCTAATCTTGTGAGAATGTCAGAAGGGATATTACATCTCATGCAGACTCTGTTGCAGAGGTTTAAATTTCTGGTAAAATTCCTTGCGCTACACAGTAGAACTACAGGGATTCACAGAGGAGAATAGTGACAAGTTCCCCAGATAGTCCACCCCTTTGTCATTAACTGGCACTTACAGTCTCAATAACCCTCTGAGACATTTGGAGAAGAAAGGATAAAAACAGTTCATTACTTACAGTTGCAATCAAGGGCAAACTAACAACTGACTCTAACGACCAAAACAGAGAGCAGAGAGGCAGAGTCTAGAGCCTAGAGGTGGAAAAGAACAATAATTTAGTGCTGGATAGACTGATCATCCCAGCCCCGAAAAATCCCTCCCAGCTGCACCTGCAACAGGCAGCATACGAGGTTGTAAACACTCCAACAGATTCCTTCCCTCTTTTTTGCTCCCACCCAGTTTAATTCAGAAAGCAACAGAGAGCCACATTGCTACAGAACACTTTCTGTCTTGTCAAATCCACAGTGTCCTAAGACAAGATTCTATGATGCCAGGGATGAACCTCACTGCCCACCTCCACCAGTCTTCGAAATTATTACTGTTTGTCCTTCTTCTGAAGGACCTTCTCAGTGCAAATCTTCTGGGTTTCTCTATAAAATATCTCAAACTCAAGCTAAACTGTATGTTACAGATGATCAATCATTAGAGAAGGAAATTCCTTAAATGGAGAGGTCACCAGGACCTTTCCTTACCTCATGCAGTTTGCAACTTAGGTGGCTTAGTTTGTGATTGGCCGTCAGGAGGAAAACATGGCCTTCATTTGCAAGTGTGATTTCTCAGACATGAACTTCTGACTGAATTATGTCTTTGCAACACATATGATTTCAACCACTGACAGGTTATCTGTATGCTTCGGCCCTCACTGGTCCCAAAGCACCACAGATTATGCTTAAAGAATTGAAAGTAAAGATATTTGCTTGGTGGATCGTGACTAGAACGGAACCCGACGAATCAGGGAAGCAATGAATATGATAGATATGTGTGTCTATTGCACTTGTCCTGTACATAATGAGTTCTGATAGTCATCTGATTCTCTGATTCGCTCTATGAGGTTGAGGGAAAATGTCTATACGTGAGACGGAAATACAGTGGTGCCTCACACAACGATGTTAATTGGTTCCAAAAAAATCAACGTTGTGTGAAACATCGTTCTGTGAAACACCATTTCCCATAGGAATGCATTGAAAACCAGTTAATCTGTTCCAATTGGAACGGATTGCCATCGCTGAGTGAAAATCCCCATAGGAAACATCGCTGTGTGAAACAATGTTTCCTTCACTGGAATGTATTGAAGCCGACTCAATACATTTCAATGGCTTTGCGAAGTCCTTTTTCGCTCCTGTAAAAGTGTCTTACAATGTTTGGAAGCTGTTTTAAATGATTGCAATGGTTAGCCCACCTCCTGAAACCTAAGCAAACTGATTTTGGTGTTGTTCTGACACTTCGTTAATTTATGATGATTTTTTGTTTTCTCCATTGGAAATCATTAGACAGACCATCCAATGGTTTCCAATGGAGAAAATTCAAAAAATCATTATAAATTAACGAAGTGTCAGAACAACACCAAAATCAGTTTGCATAGGTTTCGGGAGGTGGGCTAACCATTGCAAGCATTTAAAATGGCTTCCAAACATTGTAAGACACTTTTACAGGAGCGAAAAGGAAGATCGTTGTGCGAAAATCACCCATAGGAAACATCGCTGTGTGAGGCGGCAAATTTAACAGAAAAAGGCATTGTTGTGTGAATTCATCGTTGTGTGAGGCACCCGTTGTGCGAGGCACCACTGTATATATATTGTTCTTAGAGATGAAAATGAAGACATTCAACTGCTGATACATTGTTTGCATTATAGGATCTTTCCCCCACTCAGATTTTTGAAGGTTCCCTTAGGGGGGATATATTTTGTATAAAAACAGGCACACAACCTGTATTTTGTGCAAAATCTCCAGTTTTTAGCATAAAATGCAAAGTTTTGGCATAAAATGCAGGGGTTTGATGTTAAAGACAACTTTGATGTTGCTGAAGGGAAAAAACTTAGAATTTTCATTTGTATTTAGGAGTAAAATAACCTTGCAATCATTGACCATTTTTTGATGGAAGGTCCATACATCAAGTCAGCTTGTCCTATCCAGAAAGATAAAATCTGTGACTATTCAGCCCAGCCTTAGCCTGCCCCAACAGAACTTCCTGGTACAATCTTAGAGGATTGTAGTCCAGAAATCTTGCAACTATTTCAACAGTTTAGCCTTTGTGTTATGGAGCATTTTGCCCTCTTTCACTTCCATTGCCAGCTGAGGCTGCTCTAACACACAGATGACATACCCTTAAATTTGCAGATGACACCCAGAGGAGGTCAGTGTCCACCTGGCCATTACTGTACGACGGGGAGTGGGAGACCACAGCCCTGTCCAGCTGGGAGATACAGCCCTTTCTGGGGCATGGCTGACTGTTTGGAATGCCCAGAAGGTGTCTACTGCGATGCTGGTTCTGCGAACTACACAGCCTGTCCTGCAGGTGAGTTTATCTATGCTCTACAGTCCCTGGAACGGTATAGCTGAAGTGTTTTCTGTGACCTTCTCCTTCCTGCTTGTTCCATATCTCATTTTGAGGAAAGCTAGCTTTGCTAGCCTCTTGCAGAAATAAAGAGTGAAAACAGCCCAGTTTTACTGTGGCTAGAGCTGGTGATTTTAATCCCTGCCCAGCATTGCTTAAATTCCAGAACAAAGATTTGCACAGGGCTCAAGGCTTGATGCCCTGGACCATATGGTGTGGCCTGGCCTGGAGGTCCTGAATAAGGTCTTCAGTCTGATTAAAAAATTAGCTTCTTTCTCCTGCTTAGTGCCAGCTGTTTTCCACCACATCAGCTAAAGCCACATGACAGAGATTGTGGTTGTGCCATCAGGGCAGGACTGTGAGGAGCATGGCTATCTTGTAACCCAGAGTCTAAAAATCAATACCTCAGGCCGGAAGGTGGTTGAAGAGCTGCCTTAGAAAGGGCTATGTTCTACTCATATGTACATAAGAAGGCCCTGCCCGAGACAGTGCGGGTATTCCTGCCTAACCTTTGTGAAAACCAGGTTTTGTATTACCAGCCGAAATCCTGTTGCATAGTTACACCTGCATAACTTGACATTGTGCAAGCCATTGTGAGATTTTCGCCAAGGCTGATGGCTTATCCAGGAAGCACTTCTGCAAATGCATTTGGACAGTTGTTGTGTAGTTAGTTACATGCTCAGTTGTGTTGTTAGCTGCATAGTCAATTGGTCAACTGGTTGGTCAACTAGTTGTGCAATCAGATGTGTGTAGTACCTGGGCATAACTCCCCATGAACTTCCCTGGGCATATATTTACACTATGCCCAGTGCAATAGGATTTTGGCCATTATGTTCCTTTTTTGTGTCCATTATTATGTTTGATTTCCCTGCTTGTATTTTTGTATCCTCCAGGGAAATTAGTTGTAAATGCCGGTTCTCTTTCCTCTTCTAGGACATTACTGCCCACGCGGTACAAAGTTTGCCACTCAGTTCCCTTGTCCACAGGGAACCTATAGTGAGTTTCTGAACATCAAGACTGTCTCTGAATGCCAGCCATGCCCCCCAGGAAAGCTTTGCTCCAAGCCGGGTTTGACAAGTCCCGATGGCAGATGCATGCCCGGATGGTACTGCCCACCCAGCTCAACGCTGCGCAAACCGGTGTTCCCAGGAAACTATTCTGGTAATGAAGGGAACAGGTGGCCACATAAGGGTTCTGAATGCGAATGATGGTCATGAGGATTTGTACCTTTCATTCTTTTGTGGGAGGGGGCAGCCAAACCAGAATGGGACACTAGGAGAGGACAAGCTGCCTCCAAATGTATTAGAATACAATTTCCATCATCCCCGGCCATAACTGCCATGCTAGCTGGAGACGATGAGAGTTGCATTCCAACACAACTAGAGGACACTGCTTTAGGCTAAGCCAAAAGAAGAAGAAAGGGTTGTGGGTTTTAAGCGAGTGTAATTTTTGTACTGAAAATGTTAACTTGCAAACATTCACAGCTGATGCTTTTGGTACAGCCAAGCCTTCCTCAAAAGGTCTTACTTTCAGAGTCTCTTTAAGATATTAAAGTTTGTGGAGATACGCTTGACGAGTGTGCTGTTAACGCATATCTAAATCTCAGAAACCAGAATTGTGGCTTAATCAGATTTCTGAAAGGCTTCCCTAGTACAGGTGTTTGTGGGCTTCCATGCTTAGCAAAACCAAATAATATTGAATAATAGCATGTACCAAATGGGAGTAAGTAATAATCAAGTCAAAAAGTTAAATATCACACATTTGCATAAATAATGCAATAAAGCAGCTTATGAAATTTGTTTTTTCCCCCTCTAGTACAGAATGTGGGTGTATAATTTTAAGTTGTACAATACAGAGAAGACTGCACTTCTCAGATCCAAACTTTTTCTTTCCCAGCAGCAGGATCAGCTGTTGAAGCTTCTGCTTTAATTCAAATGTGTCAACCAGGAACATTTTGTCCAGAAGGTTCTCCTCTCCCTGTTCCTTGCACTCCAGGTATTTCTTTTTTAGCTTATTCTGGAGACGTTCTGTTTTGGTAGCCCTCATTTCCTTTATGTAGATCAGAAAGCCAGTGGTGGCCCTCTCTTGAAAGGCAAATGATCTCTGATGACTTCTCAGGCCCACAAATATTTTATCACAGAGTGATCCACATGGCCAGTGAAATTCACACAGAGCCCTTGCGAGGTTGTGCACTGTGTACATTTGTAGGAGGAGAATAGAGCCGATAGTACCCAGCTGTCCTTGAAATGTATATCCTGGCCTTGAGATTCCATTGTAGAACTCAGAAATCTAACAATTAGATGACCCTCAGAAGCAAAGGGGGTTAACCATGATCATACTAGCTACCTTGCATAAAATCTAAACTGTGATGCTACATCTCAGTTTATATGTATGCGCATGTGTCACAATGCAGAAAAACTCTATTTTTCTCACCTTGCGTGGATTTTTCCAGATACAAGCTTGCTAAATAGACTGTGGAGCTAACTTGCCTTTCCCCTTTCAGTCTAAGAAGGTCCCTGTTCCTACATACCCTGTATCTTTCTTCTTACCTAGGAGTATCTCAGTTTATGCGCGTAGGTGTCTTAAACTGAAATCTTAAAATTCCCTAGATGCTTTATTTGCAAAATTAACAAATGTTCATAAATGCATCCAATGCCTCTGTAGATGTAAGGAAAAGGCAAAGATTTTAGGAAATAAAATCTAAACCTATTGGACTAAATTTAAATTGCTAGTCCCAACCTGGGGGGGGGGGAACCCTCATTGAATTAATTCCTGAATGGCTGCAGGACTTATATAAATCTCATCACTTCAATTGACCTGTTGGGGTCTTATAACTGGACCCAGGCCATTGCTCATTGGTTTAGGATTGTGACTGTGGAGCCAGAGGTTGGGAGTTCGATTCCCACCGGGGCCTCCTTGATGGGGGGTGGACTCAGTGATCCATAGGGTCCCTTCCTGCTCTGCAGTTCTGAGATTAGTATGTTGTTGTTGTTGCTGCTGTTGTTGTTGCTAGGTTTTGCCCCATTCTGCGCATTCCTTACGTGACACTGTAGCCTATAGTAGGTCATACCAACAGTGTGGGATTATGTCAGTAATTTTTAAAAGAACACATTGAATGCCCTTTTCTGCCCCCTTTCTCTAGGTTTCTACTGTGCATCTTCAGAACTAGCTGCCCCATCAGGTCCTTGTGATGCAGGCTTTTACTGTAATGAGGGCTCCACACTAGCCAACCCAACTGATGGGACCATGGGAGATTTTTGCCCTCACGGCTACTTCTGTCCCCAGGGAAGCTCTTCCCCATTTGCTTGCCCTCCAGGTAGGTTCAAGAGAGCAACTTGTTACCATTACATCTCTGGGAATGGCAGAATCCACACGAGGGAGGTGGGTGGGTGTAAACATAAGTTCCTGGCAAAATTTGTGTTGTGCCTGATGGAAAGTCTCAGGTCCAGCTGCCGTCATGGCGTTGTCTTGCATAATAACAGCAAACTCAGTTCTCAAAATGAGGATCTTTGGGTAGTCAAAATGGCACTATTGCCCAGGTATGAACAGCCCCATGGTTTGCCAAAGTGGAGAAAATCTCTGAGGGAAATTGCATGAGGACAGTTTTATCTGCCATGTTCACCATTTAATGAGAAAATGGCATGTTTCCAATGTTTAGAAGTTTCAGACAGCAAAACAGATTTATTGACCCCCCCCCAAAAAAAAAAAACATGTTTGAGGTCCATTTGATGTGCAATACCTTTAAGAGTTCTCATCTATATGGCTGTTTCCTTTACAATGTGAGAATCAACTACCCTTAGCTTGCATCAAGATGCAAATTTGAAGGGAAAAAAGGAGCTGGTGCCAGAGATGATTTTTTTTTTAAAAAAATTCTTGGGCTGTAAATCCCATGATTCCCCATTCTAGGAATTCTGCTTGGCTTACACATCCTTTGCCTTTGGCTCATCTGGGGGGGGGGGGGGCATTCAGACTTAGCTGGGCCAAACTCTGCCTAGCTTCCTGTTCCAAAAGAAAGCTCCCAGCTAGCACTGGGACAGGAATAGGAAGTTTGGAAAGAACTAGGCCTAGCAAAGCCCCAGTGCCTTCCAATTCTGACCTTTCCTCCCAGGTGAGCTACATGTAGGTGTTTGAAAGATGCAGGTAAGTCAGTCAGAACTACCCCAGAATGGGGAATTGTGGGGTGTGTAGTCGAAGAAGTCAAGACCATCGCATGTTTAGCTGATGCAACAACAAAAATTTCTCTTTATAAAGAATGCTAACGATAAATGCATGGCTATTTTGCATGTGGCCTGATGCAGATTACTCTGAAAGTCAGTGAATGGCCCTGGATAAAGAATGCTAGAGATAAATGCATGGCTATTTTGCAGATTACTCTGAAAGTCAGTGAATGGCAGAAATACAAAGTTGTGTTACAGTTAGCATTCTCCTCTTTCTCACATACACACAAACCTATGTCCATGTTTCCTTTTGCAGGTTCTTTCACACACACAAATATATGTCCATGTTTCCTTTTGCAGGTTCTTTTTTAGCCCACCATGGTGGCAGGTCGGCACAAGACTGCCGTCTCTGTGTGGCTGGCTGGTTCTGTTCCCTCCCAGGTCAGGTATCACCTGAAGGTTTGTGTACAGAAGGTTGGTTTTGCCCAGAGGGATCCGTATCTGACCAGGACCCAGGTAGGAAGAGGGGACACACCCCTTTTCATGGTCACACTGAGAATGTGAGTAGGAGAAGCGAGAGGTGGAGTCACCCTTCACCCGGGTGAGCTGAGAATGGGAAGAGAGATGGATTCCCAAGTCATGAGGAGATGAACAAAAAAATCCAATTGTCTCAGAACGAACAAATAAAGCCACATCGAAAGATGGAGAGCTTAAGCTAAACCATCAAGTTTGATATGAAACGAACAGATCCAAAATTTTCACTCATGACACCTCCCAGCAGTATCTTTTTAAAACACTTAACAGGGCTCATTCTGTGCCCTAGTATTATTGACACTGAACATTTCCCTTCTCGACTGGCTCAGCTGGGTGGGGTAGATGGGAAACCTATACTCAAATATCCTGTTTAGAGATGTGGGATTCGTATTCATCTACGAATACAAAGCTTACCAGCACAAATGGCTGGCCCGATTAGCACCCAGAACCTACCACACCACTTACCACATGGCAGAAACCTGGCTGTCACAAACTGACCTCCCTGCTCGCTCGGCCACTCCACGGATGAATAGGGAGAGACTCGTCTTCCTGCCCCCTTGCCAGAGTGGCTAGGCAAGCTTGAATACTGCCACAATTGCTGCACTGAAGATGATGCCAGCCAGATGTGCCACATGCTACATGGTAAGTGGTCTGGCGGATTCTGGGGTTGGCTGTTAATCAGGCCAGCCACCTGTGCCATTAGGCTTTGTATTCAACCCCTACATGTTAAAGAGGAAAGAAGCCCACTACTTTTAGATCAGCCTCATGCATTGCATCTACTTCTTTGGGCTAATTAATGGATGTTGGAGTAATCATGAGCAAAGAGATTCAAGAATTAATTTTTTTATCACTCAGACATTATCTTTCAGGTCAAATTGTATATTACAGCTAGCTTATCACTGGAAGTGGTACCCTGTTTTCCCCCCAGATACGTATTTTCTTCAAAGCTCTTTGCTTGAGCAAAGAAAGTCCATGCTTACCTCTCAGATCACCAATTTAAAAAAAAAGGAAGCAATATAATTTTCATGGTCGGGAAAGGCTAGGTTGTAAATGAATGTTTTTACCTCTTAAGGGAGCTCCGATTCTGATGGTGTGCCAAGTGTATCAAGTAGTTTTTGACCCTGAGAAAGTGAAGTGCGTATTCAACTCCACAATCATGAGATTGGTTGCTGACCTTTTCTTCAAACTGTGGTTGCAAGGATGATGCCTGTGAGGTCATAGAAAGCAGGTCAAGGGAAGGGAGGGGTGTGGAATGCTGGGAAAGAAAGAAAAGGAGAGAAGGAGACCATGGATGTTCGCTGGAGGGAAGGAACAAGCCAGAGGAAAGGATCTGAGGGAAGAAAGCAAAAAGTTGATGGGTAGAAGAGCAAGGGAAGGTGCAAGAGAAAAAGTAAAGGAAGAAAGTGAGAAATAGGTGGTTGAGTACTGAGCAGCACCCATTCCAGCCAAGAGGATTTTGGATGTTGTTTAAAAAAACTTTTCCAAGTTCTGGGTTTACAGCAAATCCAGCTTCTGAATTAGAAAGAGAATAGCTGACAATCAGCAGCACCCTTTCCAACCAAGAGGATGTTGGATGTTGTTAAAAAAAATCTTTTCCAAATTCTGGATTTATAGCAAATCCAGTTTCTGAATTAGAAAGAGAATAGCTGACAATATTTACCTTTTTTTCCCCCAAATTATAGTCCTACAAAGCAGCTCAAGAGGTTTTTTTTGGGTGCTTGTTTGAGGAATGCAAAACCGTCACACAACTCCTTTTTGTTTTCCTCATCCATAGGCCACCTCTGTCCTCCTGGTCACTACTGTCCTACAGGAAGTCCAGAACCCAAACCATGTCCCCCTGGAAAATACCAGGATGAACTTGGTCAAAGCCAGTGCAAGCTGTGCCCAGCTGGAAAGTAAGGAACAACACTCTGCATCATGATTTGTCCTTGCTCACCTTCCAGTTTCTTCTCTGTGGTCTGCATACCAATTGGCTTGGGCTGTTTCAGAGGGTCTGTTATTGAAATGCAGAGTAGTAGGTTTCTTCCCGGCATTTGCCGAGCATTTCATTTCTCTCTGGCACAGCACTCCATCCAAACTGCTTCCCTCCCCCCCCCAAAAAAAATAGGGTCTCGGTTCTGAGGAGCTAAAATTGAATTCTGCTAGTGGAGGATTCGTGGAAGTGGACATTTTCCCCATGCCCAAAATAATAACTTTTCCAAGTTTTGAAATTAGTGCTTTCTTATGACATCATAAGGGACGTGGTGGCACTGCGGGTTAAACTGCAGAAGCCTTGTGTGCTGCAGGGTCAGAAGACCAGCAGTCGTAAGATCGAATCCACGCAATGGAGTGAGCTCCCGTCGCTTGTCCCAGCTCCTCGCCAACCTAGCAGTTCGAAGCATGTAAATGCGAGTAGATAAATAGGTACCACCACGGTAGCAAGGTAAACAGCGTTCCGTGTCTAGTTGTGCTGGCCACGTGACAACAGAAACACGTGACAAACGCTGGCTCTACAGCTTGGAAACGGGGATGAGCACTGCCTCCTAGAGTCGAAGACGACTGAATAAAATGTCAAGGGGGACCTTTACCTTTACCTTGACCTTGACCTATGACATTAGACGTGATGTGTCTGAGGACCAATGAAGAGGCCTGTCTAATGATCAACATGTTTTTAGGGTTGATCTTTGGTTTTTAAATGCCCACCCGTCTTACATCTTTGAAGACTCAGAGGGACTTATAATATGTTGTGGTCTCACACAGAGTATATATAGTGTATTTCAAATCTCTGGGCCCCAAACTCACTGTTCAGCGATGTTCCTCCATAACGCCGACTGAATAAAATGTCAAGGGGGACCTTTACCTTTACCTTGACCTTGACCTATGACATTAGACGTGATGTGTCTGAGGACCAATGAAGAGGCCTGTCTAATGATCAACATGTTTTTAGGGTTGATCTTTGGTTTTTAAATGCCCACCCGTCTTACATCTTTGAAGACTCAGAGGGACTTATAATATGTTGTGGTCTCACACATATATAGTGTATTTCAAATCTCTGGGATATATATATATATTCTCTTTTCGCTGAAGAGGAGGAGGACAACGGCTTAAAACAATAAATCATTTTCCATGTTACTGACAGGTTCTGCGATCCTGATTTCCAAGCACAAGATTCCAAAGAAACTCCACCAAACATTTTCCATGTTACCGACAGGTTCTGCGATCCTGATTTCCATGCACAAGATTCCAAAGAAACTCCACCAAAGGGCGTAGTCAAGCCATTGAACTGTCTACTTGGTTATTACTGCCTCTCAGGGACTAAATTTGCAAAGCAGTTTCCCTGCCCTGATGGCACCTTCAGCAACCAAACCGGCCTGAGCAGCTCTCAAGAATGCAGGCCCTGTCCTGAAGGGAAATTTTGTGCAAATCCAGGTAAAGAAATGAGCCAACAAGCAGAAACAGATCTGAGATGCAGCCCTAAGCATGCCTGTTTGGAAGTCAATGCTGGCAAAATTGTGTGTCATCAGCATCGAATTAAACCCAGACCAGGAGATTTTTTTATTTTTATTTGTTTTGCATCTCTAAGATTGTGGGATCAGTCCTTGGCATCTCCAAAGGATCATTAGGAAAGGGGGCTGGGAAGTGTGATGGCTTGGTCATGACGATCTGCCTGAGTCATGTGTCTGGATCACTGAACAGGTTTCAGTTTCTAACGAGGGGCTGTCTGTAATGCGTATCATGGCCCTACAAGTGTACTGACTCTATAACCCATTCCAGCTCCAAAGTACTGCCAAGTGCCAGGCTTCCTGTTTTAAGGTCTCCCTCTCTCTTTCTCTCTCTCAACACTTCCTCGTAGAGGGGGTGGCACCCAGGGAAGGGGACTCAAGTCACAGGACTCACTGACAAATCAGACTTAAGTCACATGAGTGACTCAACTCAGACTTGACTTGGCTTGTTGGTTGGTTTGCATACTCGACTTGCAACTCAGAACCCACCTACCCCTCCTTTTGTTCTAGGGGGGAAACTTGGTTTTAATAGCAACTCAGGACTTGGTACAAAAGACTTGGACTTGGGACTTGGGACTTAAGACTTGGACTTGGGACTTGGGACTTAAGACTTGGACTTGGGACTTGGGACTTGGACTTAGGACTTGGGATTTAAGACTTGGACTTGGGACTTAAGACTTGGACTTGGGGCTTGGACCCAAAGACTTGCCTGCATCTCTGATGGCACCACATTGACAAACTTTCCAGCAGCACCAATTTTCAGTAGATCTTAGCATGCCATAGCCTGCCTAGCCATGTAGTGTTTAGAGCTCTTAAAGTACATACAATAAGGTGTGTCTGTATACATGTACATAGATAGATGATAGATACCAGGCTCTCTGTTCTGTAGGTCTTGTGATGCCTAGTGGCCCTTGTTTGCCTGGATACTACTGCATCCTGAAGGCACATGTACCTAACCCTGCTGGTGATGAAACAGGAGCCTTGTGCCCCGCTGGGCATTACTGCCCCTTGGGGAGCAGCATCCCAACGCCATGCCCTAGTGGGACTCTGCTGCCCCAGCCTGGAAAGATCTCCCGTGATGCCTGCTTGCCATGTCCTGGGGGAAGTTTCTGCCAAGGAGAAGGTCTGGCCAATGTTTCAGGTGAGTTCTACCACCTTCTTTCCTGGCATGTTTGTCTCTCTGTGTGTGTAATCTCCAAGGTATGAGTAATCCATTCTAAAACTGCCTTTAATAAAATTATATTAAGATGCTAAAACTAGCCCCCCCCCAGCACTAGTTGGGTCCCATCTAGAATACTGCATCCCAGTTCTTGACAACCACCATTTTAAGGAAGGTTCTCACAAACTGGAACAAGTTCAGAAGAAGGCAACAAAGATGATCAGATGATGGGAAAGTGAGCTGTAGGAGGGCAGACTGAAAGAACTGGTCGAGACTGAGATAGGATAGCTCTGTTCAAGTACTTGAAGGGCTGTCATACACAGGAGGGGCAGGATCTGTTCTCAATCGCCCCAGAGTGCAGGAACGTAACAATGAGCTCAAGGTATGGGAAGCCAGATAGAGGCTGAATATCAGGGAGAAAAATCTTAACTGTTAGAGCAGTACGACAATGGAACCAGTGACGTCAGGGGATGATGAGCACTCCAACACTGGAGGCATTCAAGAGAAAATCGGACAAGCCTCTGTCACATCTGCTTTGATTTGAATTTCTGCCTTGAGTGTGTGCGGGGTGGGGGGGACTCAATGGCCTCATAGGCCCCTTCCAACTCAATGACTCTACAATTCTATACCTTCCTTGGGAAACAATCGTCTTATACCAATCAAGCAGCCTCTTGTTTCTGCCCCCCAAAAATAATTATCTATGATATATGCAATCTGCGTAGGGATTTTCCTGATAGTTTTTGACAGCTTACTCAATAAAGTGAAAATCTCAGTACGCTTTTCTGCCTGGCGTTATGTGAAAGAGGTCCAAATTGCTCTCCTGAGAAATAGTCTTAAAAATCATTGAGACATATTTTCTTCCTTTGTTTGCACAAAAATCTCTGAACATCAAGATCTGTTTGATTTGAGCTTTTTGGTGGGATGGGGGGGGGAGTATGCCAAACTCTTCTTGAATATTCTGGGCCTCCACCGAGCAGAGGCAGCATTAGGGATGTGAGCTAATTTTATTCAGTCCATATTTTCAAAGGAGCCGTTCTCATGCATCCTTCCCAAACCAAAAATGTAAACTGGGACACAGTTTGTCCTCTAGATATGGGGCATCTCTCCAGATTGCGCAGTCTAGTTTTGGGTTCAAAAAGTTGATATCTATATTAGTAAAAGTATGCAAGAAGGTGCACATTGAGAGAGGGAAATTAAGCAAAACTGGACATGAAGAAATGTACCTTTTGTGCATTTTTAAAAAATCAATAGACTGGTATAGAAATTGGAAGTATTTAGTACTGAATAAATGCAGGATGGAAAAAGACATGTTTACTCATCTCTTGGTTCAGTTCAATACTCTCTTTAGAACGCTACCAATGCTGTGAAGTAGTAATAAAGAGAATGTTGTCTTAGAGCAAACTAAGTTATCTTTCTCTCACCATTGAGTTATCATCATCATAACCATGCTCCCCCTTCCACAAACAGGTGTGTTTTAGTTTTAGCAAACTAGATTATATGGCTGGCGGGTTTTGTTTTGTTTTTCCTGCAGTGTTCGAATAAGTGTGAAGGACATTTGTTTGCCGTAGCATTTGATTTTCCTCACATCTCTACCTTGCATTTAGCGTGCTTTGTTTTGTGATGTGTCTTTGAGAGGTAAACCGGAACCCAATCTGATAGCTGAGCCACTTGGGTTGATTCTTTGCAATTGACATTCTCCTTGATGTCTGGTTTGGCCATATGTCAAAGAATATGCCCGTGCAAGGATGCCTCAGCATCTCTCATTTTAGATGCTCAGATGCGTCAAGGTTCTCTGGTGACTTGCCATTTCTTTTTGAAACCTTCTACTTTTGCAGGACTATGTCACGCTGGGTACTACTGTGAAATGGCATCCTCTCGCCCTGACCAGAAGCTCTGCCCCCCAGGGTTCTACTGCCCCAAAGGCACAGGGCTTCCAGTTCCATGTGTGTCAGGAACCATCAATCCCCACTATGGGGAGTGGAATGCCTCTGGCTGCAAACTCTGTCCGGCTGGGCATTTCTGCAGTGGTATGTCCCTTTGTGGGTATCTTTTCTTTTTCTAGAGCAGGAGAAATTTGGTTGATTCTTTGGTCTGCTTCTGCTCAGACACCCTTGAGAAAAAAGGTGGGTGGTACCTATCATGCGAAATGGTCTTCCTTCTGCAGGCTTCAGTGGAAGAATTGATGGAAAATAAAGCTGTGTCCTGGATTTGGGGAAATGGCAAATTCTAAGCTTCTGGTCAATGTGTGGGTAGAAGCAGAAGGCCAGATCCAGTTCCCGGCCAAAACAGGAAGCAGCTTCACACCTTGATTTCCAGACACCCTTGCAAAAAAAAGGTGGGTGAAAATGGTCTTCCTTCTGCAGGCTTCAGTGGAAGAATTGATGGAAAATAAAGCTGTGTCCTGGATTTGGGGAAATGGCAAATTCTAAACAGAATTAGCAAGCTTCTGGTCAATGTGTGGATAGAAGCAAAAGGCCAGATCCAGTTCCCAGCCAAAACAGGAAGCAGCTTCACACCTTGATTTCCATCTGAAGCCCAAGCTGTATTGAACAGGACACACATAACACTGTAGTAATTTCATAGTTTCCCTTTATTAAACAAAAGACTGGTGCACAAAGGGTTAAAAATAACTGGAGTGCTTCCCGATTTCATGTACAGTATATCAATGCAAAAATAAAAATGTTCTGTTCTGTTTTGTTCTCTAGTGCAAATCAATACAAATTTACAAATCAAGCAAGGTCCAGGGCACTAGTTAAAGTAGGTGGGCACAAATTGCTCTGGTCCCAATCCGGATACTTCTCGAAACTCCCCAATAGGTTTAAGGGACATCCCTAATTCAACCTGGAACGATTTGGAATTGTTTGTCAAGTGGCGGTGTTTTTGTGCTGTTGCAGACTACTTCGCGACTTTTTTAACTGCACTGAAATATTTGTAAAAAATTGAACCAATAAAAGGAAATGAACCTTTTTGCAATTGCTATAATTCTAGGACCAGGAAGGATTGTTCCAGAAGGGAAATGTTCCCTGGGTTATTACTGTCCGTCAGGGCAGATGTCTGCCACACCTGCCTCCCTGCGGTGTCCACGTGGCTTTTACTGCCTTGAAGGATCCGTGGCTCCAGTGGCTTGCCAGAAGGGAAGCTACCAGCTGGAAGAAGGGAAAGGATCATGTGAACTTTGTCCAGTGGGATTCTTTTGTGAGCCTTTCAATGAAAGTAAGACGTTGGCAGGATTGCACACGTGCTGTTCATTACTATTTGAGGGTTAGGAAGAGTCCTGGCTAAATTTCTCATCGCTTTAGGCCATCTTGACTCAATGATACATCCTGAAAAGAGGGTTTTTTTAGTCCCACAAGGTTCATCTGCTCCGGAAAAGAGTGAGAGAAAGAAAGCTACTTTGTCAGGATCTGTGTAATTTGTATACCTTATCTCTGTGCAAAACCAGCATCCTTTCCGTTTGAGGAGTAAAGCATGTGCACACACACACAAACACATGAACACATGTACATGCACACACACAGCAAACATAGTGACTGACTGGCCAAAATCCTGTTGAGTACATTACATCTGCAAGCGGATGATGCCATTACCAGCAGTAGGAGATTGCCACTAATTAAAGAGTTACTGTTTAGATCCTTCAGGTCACTAGACCTCACCCACAACCAGTCTCATTCCACAACTCCTGAGATCAGAGCACTAACTCTTTAATGACTGGCAATCTCCTTCTGCTGGTGACATTGTCACCCTTATGCAGGTGTAATTTACTCAACAGGATTTGGGCTATTGATTGTTTATAGAGACACAAATAATATTTTCTTTTTGTCTATTCTTTAACCATTAATAAAGCCACCATAGCTTTATGACAGTTAATGACATTGTCTTTAAACCCTTGTGTGTGTTAAACCACGGTGCATGCAACATTCCTTGATTTATGAGAGAAAAACATTATTTATTCTCTTCTCTTGGTGAGAATGCCACCAAGTGGAGTAATTTTGCAGTTTCTTTTTCACACGCAAAGATGAGACTAGCAAGAATTCCCATCCCTGATTAGGAACCACTTACTGTCTGCCTATGCTTTTCTCCAGAGATGAATCCCTGTTGCCAAAGGCATTCATGGCTCAATTCACAAGGGAACTATACCAGTCACAACAAAAAGTCAAGGAAAGGGCATTCCGTGCAGTGGGGGTATCTAAGGAGTTATGTTTTATATGAATTATCAGAGAGACGTTTGAAAAAGCACGTTGGAAATTAGCCGACGCACTTGTGAAAAAGTGAAAGTAGAACTTCCAATTTGCAAAAATAAAAATGGTTGAAGTTTCTGCATTCCTCTTTTTCCCCCAGGTGTTGCAATATCAGTTCCTAGCCCATGTATCCCTGGGCATTTTTGCCCCCTGGGAACCACATCTGACACAGAACACCCATGCCCCAAGGGAACATATGGACCGAAAGCTGGTGCCACTCAGGAATCTGACTGTGAATCTTGTCCAGCAGGTAAGTGGATGCCGGGCTTGGAAAATATGCAGCCAATCTGAAAACAAAGCCAATAGAGAGTGAGGGAAGGAATGGAATGTAGGTTTGCCCCGTCTGTGCTGCCCTCGCACCCTGCATTCATTCATTCCCTCTCATTTAGGGAGGTATTGTTCATCTCCTGGACAGTCCCAACCAACAGGTCTTTGCTATGAAGGCTACTATTGCACCAAAGGAGCAGTGAACCCAACACCCATCAGACAAAGGGTGAGTCGCAACAGCAAGAAGTAGATTCCGTTCCCTCCTTGTCAATAAATCCTTTGATTTGGATCCCTGCACTTCGCATGGGGTTGGATGTCATGACCCTACAGGCCCTTCCCGACTCAGTGATTCTACATTTCTACGATTGCCCATGTCTAACTGGAAATATAACAAATATTCATAGTTCTTCATATCCAAAAATACAAGAGAGATGAAAGACAAAGGTTTTTTTTAATCTTTATTGATTGCCTTTTCTTGCCTCCAGGGCTTCCAAAATGGATCAAAAGCATCCTTTAAAAACAGAATTAGAACAATTTTTGAAATTGGAAGGCTGGAACCTCAAGAGGACTAGACTGACCTGACTTCCTGCAGAAAGAGTTTCACAATCAAGGGGTTGCTAGAGAAAAAAAAAACCTTGTCTTGCTTACCCACTAACCTTAGTTTCTTGTGATCATGGGATGAGCAACAGGACCTCCACTGTGGAGTTCAGCTTTCTGGACAAGCTTAGCTGGGAGGACCGAGTCTCTTCAGAGATTCCCCCCAACCATCAGAAATATGGACTCAACACCATAAAATATGGTCCTTGTTGTTATTATTTATTTATTTTTGCAGTGGTGCCTCGCTTTACAATTAATTGCCCCGCATTATGACGAATCCACTTAACGACGATCTTTTTGCGATCACAAAATGATGTTTCCTATGGGGGAATTTTGCTTTGCGATGATCGGTTCCCTGCTTCTGGAACTGATTCTTCGCAAAACGACGTTTTTCTAACAGCTGATCAGCTGTTTCAAAATGGCCGCCAGGTAATTAAAATGGCTCCCCACTGTGTTTAGGGACTGATTCCTCGCTATACAGGCAATGAAAATGGCTGCTGTATGGAGGATCTTCGCTGGACAGTGAGTTTTTACCCCATTGGAACACATTGAATGGTTTATATGCGTTTTTTTTTTTAAAATTCCACTTTACGATGTTTTCACTTAACGGCGATTTTCAATGTGTTTCAGTGGGTTTTTTTAATTCCACTTTATGATGTTTTCACTTAACGGCGATTTTCCTGGAACAGATTATCGTCGTTAAGTGAGGCACCACTGTATTTACTTAACTTATATGCCGCCCACTCTACCCAAAGGCCTCTGGGCGGTCATCAACACCATTCTTTCTTGTGGATTTTATTGCCTCTTCTTCCTGACACAGGTGGATTCTGCCAGTTTCCTTCTCGCTGGGAATGGCATCTGTCCCTCTGGGCATTTTTGCCCCAATGGGACCGGCTACCCCATCCCGTGCCCGCCTGGCTCTTTCTCCACCGCATTGGGTCTGAAGGCAGAACAAGAGTGTCGCCCTTGCCCTGCAGGATTCTACTGCAGCCAACCAGGGATTTCTGATCTTTCCCAGATGGCCCCGTGCAACGAAGGGTAAGGGGCGCCAAGCGTTGGTTGTTTCCCACAACAGAATGACAAGCTGAGGAAGGTGGGCTGTGCTCAAGAGTGGCAGCCTCATGCCATCCAAAAATAAAGAGGGTGACATTGAGAGGATAGGCGGGAATTAGATTAAAGCAGGGATAAGCCACTTTGCTAAGTTCAAGGGCAGAGCTCAGAAATGATGTGTTGATTTAATGTATTAACGCTAACCTTGTTTCACACTGAGCGGGAGGAAGAGGTGATGGATGCAAAGTTTTAAGAGCAATGATTTTAATACTAACCCATTATTTTAAAAATGCAGCCCTCTGAAAACTAGATGTGTTCCTCCCATCTCTTGCAAAAGCGGAGCTTGTGGCATTCATAATAATAACAGTAATCATGTGCGGTCACTTATAGTAACCCTTTTCAGGGTTTTTAACAGTAATGCATTAAATTATCACATTACTTCCAAGCTCTGTTTGTGGGGCATTTCCCGTCATACCTTCCTGGGCTTCCCCTGTATCCCCAAGACTCCCATCAACTTATCTCTCCCCCTTTAATAATAGCCAATCTCATTAACATGAAAAAGCCAAGTCGCATCCCCAAAAGCCACTGGGGAGAAGCAATCAGCCATGGTGTTTCCAGTAGTTTCTGATTTCCAAGGGCCCTTTCTTCTCCTCTGCTAATGTTGAGCAAAGCAGGAGAACCTATCAGACATACAAGGCAGTGCTCCCCAACCTTGGGCCTCCAGATGTTCTTGGACTACAACTCCCAGAGCCCTTCACCACCACCTCTGCTGGCCAGGATTTCTGGGAGTTGAAGTCCAAGAACATCTGGAGGCCCAAGGTTGGAGACCATTGATTCAAGGCATTTCTCCACCATCCAAGGTACCTGTACACAAAGGTCTCAGAGTCTTCATAAGGAATGTTCAAGGAAGCTAGTTGACAGTGTTTGGCCCTTCCCTCCAACATCTGTACGCAAAGCAAGGTCTCAGAGTCTTCTTAAGGAATGTTCAAGGTTAGTTGACAGTGTTTGGCCCTTCCCTCCAAGTAGACCCCATGGAGGAATGAACCCTCCCAGATTCCTCTTCTGATCTTTATTGCAGGTACGTCTGCCTGGAGGGCAACGCTGCTCCCTGCCCCAATGACAGGATTCATGGGTACCGATGCCCAAGGGGCTTCCGTTGTCCGGAGGGCACCAGCTTGGAGGTTCCATGTGAACCAGGCATGTTCAGTCCCACAGACGGGGCCAGCACCTGTCTCCCTTGTCCGGCAGGTACAGCGTGCAGACAGGCGGCCACTGTGGAGCCACGCGGCTGCCCTCGAGGTAAGGCATCCAGAGTGGACGTGGGGTTGGTTTCAGGCCAGCTGGAATGCTTGCCTGCAAGTTCCAGTCAAAAGATTGTATTTAACTTACGGAGTGCAAAGAATACTGGCATGGAGGGGGTGCAAAAGAGATGGCTTTGCCCACTTTCTCATGTGGGGCCTCCACAATCCTATGTTAACGTTCCATCCAGATTAGTAGTGAGAATCCTGTACCCGCTCCTGAGATCATCAGAACTTTGCATGTTTTAAGCGAGAGCAGTAAGAACACAAGCACCAACAAAGCGAACACAGCTTCAGGAAGTGTGTAAGTGAGTTCTGCAAATCCCCATTTCCTGGGAACGAGAGCCTCTCATTAGCACAACAGTCAGCTATGTGTTCTCTGCAACCCTCAAGGTCAGTGAGGCCGTCCTGCTAATTAATGCTGCAGCTGCATTCTCATGAGACCAATGTTTTCTATTCCACTGCATAATTGGTTGAGGTCCAAAAGGGTGTCCTATTATTATTATTATTTTCCTATCACATTCCTTATGTTCCTGAATTTGTCTTGGATGTTAACTTTGGCCATGGTTCCTATTTTGTTAAAGACCCAGACTTTCAAATGTTCTGGATAGTCTCTCTCTCTCAGCCATTTTCAGTTGTTCTCTCTATCTGTCTGCACTGCAATAAACTGTCTCCTTTGTAATGTGGTGGTTATCCCATCTATGGTGGAGGGTGGCACCCAATGGAGAAAAAAACTCACCTTTTGGACTGCTTGTGGTGTGGTCCGGTGCAAGTTATCTTTCCGTGATCACACACATAGGAGATCTCAAAGTAGCCTGGCCCTCCTCCATGCCCTTCCTGGACCCTTTTGGTCCAGCAGCAGGGCTATGGGGGGGGGGGGGGAGTGATT